CAAGGGGTTCCGTCAGCATCGCCCTTCGCTGGGGACGATCTACTCGTAAGCGAATCGCATATCCACAGAATATTATTCACTCACGAGATTGGAATGATCGGAAGTCTGACACGGTCGAAATGATTTCTCTCGTGGCGTTTTTTTTTTCGTTCTTTTTTCTTTTCGTTTGCTCATTTTTCTTATTTCTTACAACCGAACAACGGGTACGATCCGAACCCTTCAAAGTTAAATCTTCGCGAACCATTCAATAAACTGATAAATTACATTTTGACCTCAATTCTGTTGTTTGCGACTTTTTTTCAAGATACGCGGCGTCTTTGTTTCGCGCATGGTTTAGAAGTAACTTTCACCTTGAAAAATTTAACAAGTTGCTATAACCCGAGCGTCAATATGTTAATTTGTATATCTAAAGCAGTGCGTGCGTGCTGGATCGAAAGAAGCGCGCGCGTTTATACACCTAATGAATGAATTTCATGGAAAACTAAATAATTAGAAAGCATGAAGGGAAATTTCCAACGCATACTGTCGATGCAGGCTGCTTATTTAAATCTTATTATGCATGGCTTCAATTAAGTATAAAACTCTCCGTCCAGTAGGCTTAGATTATCTCAACATTCCCTCAAAAGTTGCCTTAATGTTATCATTTTTCTTATTTATTATTTAAATCATTCATTTTAGTTTAATTATTCTTGACTAATTGTTTACATGATCATTATTATGATCAAATGTTTATAAATACGTAAACGGTACTCTTTACGTGACACTCGCGTTCTCTAACACTTATTTAATTTATTTATGATCCCAACGTTTTAAAATTAACTTAAATATTACGATATTTTATGTTTTAATGTGTATCTCTTTGTAAACTCCTTCAATTCCTAATGTAAGTGATAAGCCGCAAATATGTGTGGAAGGATTCTTATTTATTTTACAATTTTATAATTGACGATGGAATATTGCGAGGTGGTGCGTTTGATATTACGAAATTTGTTGATGTTTTTTTTAGTTATGTTGTGTTTAAAAATGATAAAAGTAAACGTGGTAATAACATGTTATTGCTTCAAATGTTATGATAAAATACAAGAAATGCAAAATAAAAAATAAATAAAATGTTGATTTGAAAGAATATTTATAATCCTTTATATCTGCTTACTGCGATTGATCCGTGCAGTTCTCACTGCGTTAAAATTTGGGTCACAAATATCTGGTTCTTGTTTCAAGTCGCCTTTCAATCCAACACGGTGAATTCCACCGAATTTAAGGACATATAATGATTCATGGTCCACGTCTCAACGTTCGTATGTAAGTGAAGCTGTATTTAAATATCTTTGCAAATTGTTAATTACGTGATTATTTCCATTCTTAAATCGCAGTTTAGATGTGTGATCAATGAAGCCGAGATAAAAATGAACCGTGGACGTTGATTTTTATGCTCAACCGATGTATAGGTGTCAAGGATTATCGCTCGCATTTGAATTTTTTTTATTTCTAGATGTGTTTCTCCGTAGTCATGTTCACAACTCCACAGAACGGTTGATTTAACTAGTTGTATCCTTGTTTCACATTCAGAACATGCTTGATGCTTGTGGTATATGGTACAGAATGTCAATGAATTTCGATTTTCAGGGTTAATGAGTGTTTTGAATCAGAGTATACGTATTAAAATTGGTGATTGAAGGTTTTCACCAGCAGGTTCGAAACAATCCGAATATTAAATGTGAATTACCCTACATTACTGCATTGTAAATACATTTAGATGTATTCATAGGTTGTGTGTGGTACATGTGTTCATAAATTATCTAGACAAAACATCGAAATAATTGTCTGACTTTCCCTTTTCTCGTTGTGAGATTCGGCTCCAGTTTCAATTTCCTTTTATCTGTATTTCGATTGTGACTTTCATCGCAGCGGTGATAATTAGGATTTAATGCATGCCACTCGGGACGACAAATCAAGTTAATTGCTTCATTAATTTTGATTTAAACAGCCAAAAATTTGGTTTCACCTTTCATTAAAAATCTACAAGTCAAATGAAAATTATTATGATAATAAAAGTAGATTCTACTAAAGTAAAACTTGAATAAAATTCAATGAAGCGTCAACAATGCTTAAAAACCTAAAAAGGAATAAAATTTAAGTAACAGCTATAAGTAATACTAACTGAAACTAATTTCGTTAAGTAAATCCGATTTAAACTCATTTGAAACTAGCAAATTTGAAGGATTTACTTTAAATTTTCCCTCTAACTAAAGCGGATTACCAAATATGCGATAAATTAATTAAAATAATATTTTAACTCTACGTTTTCCTAACACATCATGTATATATGTGCATAGGTAAGTCCATAAACACAATTCTACTTTCACCGTGCCATGTTTAGCGTGTTCATCACTGAACTCGCTGCTGGTTTCCATTGACAAACATATAAGCCTGTAAATGTATATTTTATTTATACATATTTATAGCGCACATTAAAAGAGCCACCACGCAATAACGGTATGCAGCTATCGTGATAGCGCCGTGCAACTTTACAGGTATCGCACTTTCCATATTTTCAAAAGCTTTCAAACACTTCAATACGCTTCAAACGGTCGTAAACAGCGTGAAGAAAATAATTCCTGTGTGATCGCCGAGTTTCACATTATGCAGATTCGTGTTACTTCTTTCTACATGTCTTCCAGTGTCAAGTTCATAGGCGCATGATGTCGAGTGAGCTTGACATTGCGAATGCAGTCATTCGGAAAGGAACGGACGGCGGCATAAATTCGCTACGCTTCGCTGGCGTTGAAATTGAGCTTATTAATCAGATGAAAGTTGCTAGTTACTCTGAATGCTACTGTTTCGTGTTGGATCGAGTAGAATATTCAGAATATATCAACAGCGTATCATTTGTGTGACAAAAAATGATGTAAACAATTGTGTATGGGCCCCACTGAAATTTAACTATACATTTTAATAAACACACTATCTCTGAAATGCTGTAAAATGTAGAAATGTATATTCACCATAGGCAATGAATCATACAATGATGGAATTTGTGTATGTACCAGACTCTGTAAATTAACACATGGGAATATTGTGACAATTAATAAAAACACAAATGAGTACTTTTATACCGCAGTTAAGATCTTTTTTGTTTGAAATTGTATTTTTTGTGTTGAATATTTTACGCATGTATAAGACATCAAAATTTTGTAACTAAACCTCTTTTGCTTATTTTTACAAAGTTTTTTCCCTTCTTTTTTTGCAAAGTAACTTAATGTAACTGCACTATTTTACGTTTTTTTTTTGTCTCTTTCTTTTTTATACAATTACCAGTACTTTTTTTTAGATTTTCGTTTTTTAAGCTGTATAATATAATAAAGAGGAGGTAACGTAATGCAAATAAAAATAAAAACATGAAATAAAAAATAACGATAGCAGAACCCATCTACTAGTAGTGGGAGACGATGTACCTGCAAGCTTATGAACAATTAATAATGTAGTGGCATAATGTTCAACACACATCATCGAACACAGCTTTCGCGCAGTGCGTTCGCATGTAGTTCTGTAAATGAACCGAAATAATATCATCTCCATTATACAATAGATTTAAGCTCTTAACTCATCTCGATTACTGATGTAAATATGAAATTCACACTCATTCATTACTCCACTCACGCAAACACGCACATACAATTCCTATCCCTCAATCACATCCAACCGAATTCTAACCTTAATTTTTGTCTTAGTTATTAACTGCGTTTTTGTTGTGTTTTTTTTTCTGTCAATAATCTTTTTCTTTTTTTAGTGCTTATGTCTATGTCTAACGCAGCGCTGCTTCTAGTTGGTATTTTTTTTCGAGCAGATCCTTTTTTCTTTCTTTTTTTCTCTCTGATCAAAGCGTGTACGTTCGAACTTGTTTGTTTTTTGTTTAGAAATGATCTGTATAAGAAATAAACAGTGAAAGGCATAAAAACCTGCACTGGAATGCTGTCGGCGTGGGTGTGATGAAGGGCTCCTCGGATTGGAATAGAACCGCGTACGAGTGTTAATATGGTGCGTAGTAGCCACCTCGGCGGGCGTAGCTTCTAGAATTTCGAATAACTTTGAGTTAAGCCAGATAAAATCGCTATCTTGGCGGGTTAGGGTAGTAGGATTAATCTACCTTGGCCTTCGTAAAGGTCGAAAACTGCCGTAAAAGCCACGCGTCGTTCCTCGAGCTCCACGGAATGATCCACGCCCACGCGGCGGGCGATTCGTCGATGACATGCCGGGACGATTTGTTCTTTTTAACATTACCTAAGATAACAAAACAAATTTTTATGTTTTTCTATTATTTTTTTTTTGTTTCTGTAGGGCATCTTAATAGTTCACCTTAATTTGTCTGCCTCTAAATAATGACTCATCCAAAGCCATGGCTGTTTGCACAGCATCCCTATCCCCAAACTCAATATATGCAAACCCTTTTGGATGACCGTCAAACTTGTTACACAAGATTGTAACCCTGTTGATTGATCCACAGCCATGAAAGTGTTGCTCAAGTTCCTCTGCAGTAGCCCCATAGTCCACATTGCCCACATAAATACTTCTATTATCAACTTCTACCTTCTCTTCAATAGACATATTTAAAGGACTAGCTGTAAATTGCAATAAATTCTGTAATTGAGTTCAAATACAACAAAGTCCAACTTACTGAGACCAGGTGGACTACCCATGTTCATTTGTTTATCCAAATCAGTCTGCAACTGCTTCAACTTCTCTGCCTCTTCTTCCATCTCCTGCATTCTGGCCTTTATTGCCTCCAGTTCTGGGTCATCGCCGCCGCCGCCATCGACGTCTGTGTCGTTCAGCATCGATTCGTCAATGATACCATTTTATCGTCCAGCGAATCCAACTGGTCTTCGGCGCCTAATCCTAGATCTTCGTTATCAGCCATGACCTAAAACGACAACACGCTTAGTTGTTTCGCCATCGCGGGTAGGTTAGTTTCTGGGACGCGTCAAACTTATAAAATGAATGCAATCTTCAAGAGAGCTGCACGTGATAGCTGTGCACAAATGTGTAAATACTCACCTACGAATAACTTATGACCTACGTTCAGTCTAGTAACGAAACTTGTAAAATTGATTCGCGTGTAGCAAAATGATGCTTCAAGCCGGTGTTTCCAAAAATCCAAGCGGCCGTGTCATGAAGAAACGAGCGGTGCGGTGAACTCCCACAGGGTTGCCAACTGTCAGTGTCACCATACTTAAGAAAGGTATGCAACCGCATTACACGTTCATTCTTGAATCCGCCTTAATTCAAAATGTCGAGCTCACGATCACTACAGATATTGTTCTCCGTATTGATTATATCGCTAATGGTAAATATATTTAAGATAATAAAACAATACTGTTATTAATTTAAGTTGTTATGTTGTTGTTATAGATTTCACCGGTCGTATTGCAAAATCCTAACTCTGACAGTGTCGAAACATCACCCTTGGCTGGATATTGTTTCATTTTTAAGCAATGTTACAATTTCCTTTGTGACTGCGAACTCAAGCACCTAAAAGAAATACTTAAAGCAACTAAGCAGCATTTTCGCCGTTAATAATTACTTGGTATCGTAAATTATCGCAAACAAAGTTAATTACCTATTGTCAAAGAATTTACTCAAAACATAAAACATATGAATCACACCAATATCAAATCATTTAAGAATGCATAAGCAAATTCGACATTATTAACGCGTAGTTTCAAGTATAATGATGGCGACGTTCGTTTCACTCTTTTTACTGCTCATCAATGTTTCTATAGTAAGTATTCTATGTTATAAAGAACCAAGCATGTTATTTATTAAAATAATTCATTTGGAACCTTAGCAGTCGGCCCAGCCCACTTCTCAAGATCCACGTATAATCATGCGTGGTTTCTGTTTCATTTTCGGTACATGCTACGACTTTTTCTGCAATTGCGACCTGACCAGGATTAAAACAGAGAAACGTAACCGAATTGTCTATGCCTATATGATATAACTTGTGCAAGAAATAAAAATAAAGTTATCAAACGTTGTGTTATCATTAGAAACTAATTTCATCCGGTTCGGAATTCGCATCCGATTGATTCTGTCATGATTTACTCTTCTGCTTCACGGCAATTATGTAACGCTGAGCCACCGACATCGGACAGCTGTAACCCTTCGTGCAGTTTTCGTCGTAGAATAATACTTCGTATTCATCCGTATGCTTTTGGGGCGCTTTGCGCACAACACCAATGTACAAACATGATGTACCAGGATATAAAGCCATAACTGCAGAAGTAAGTATATTTTCAGTAAATATGAAAAATATTAATTGAAGATATAAATTACCAATAGTTCCCTGCGGAAATAGAGCTTCTGGATCAGTTTCAGGATTCGCTCGCATCAAAGGCAAAGGTACGACAAACTTCTTGCTGATTGTATGGCGTTTTTTCTGGTTTTGCTCCAGCAGTATGTCATCTACTTCATACTTATTAGTACTGTGTTGATAACTTACTACTTCAGCAAGAATCCAATCATTCATGTCAGCAGTATCAACAAATGTTGCAACCATATCGCCAACCTAGGTTAAAGAATGTTTAATCATTTATTTAGAAGTGATTTTTATTCTATTATTTACCTTAGCTGTATAATTTGATTCTGCTGGAATAGCTCCGCAAAGTGGCGGTGGTTTCTCTCCCGGTTTACCAACATACAACGGTAATGTTTCCGCGTGGTTTTGAAGCATCGAGAAGCACGATGTTTTACGCATCATTTGTTTATTACCGCCCATGCGTGATTTAATACGGCGCTCATTCTTTATGTTGCGAATTTCCACAATTTTCTCTAAAGCCTCGCGCAGAAGTTCTTCTTCTTGTTCAGCGTGACTCAGTGCTGCTTTGTATAGAGCTTTCAATTTTGACTGGAAAATTAGGCAAACATTTAAAAATTGACAGATACATTTGCAAATTTGCAAATTTGCAAATTAATGGCATTTGCAAATTAATTCACATGGAATACAAAATTATAATAATTTTATTCTTATTATTTCATGGTTGTTTATATGTGGATAGTGTAAGTATATACAAAAGAAATAATAGAATAACACTAAAACAATTTCAAATTCTAGAGCTACTCAGGAGAATGTCGGGATGACAGGAGTAATAGAAATAGCACAGTATTTTTACGAGGTTATTGCTACCTCTTTGGAAAATGCATACCAATATTTTGTGAGTGTGGAAGAGACATCAGAGAACTCACCTGATTGTGCTGTGTTTTCTCATCTTGCATCTTCATGATAGGTATAAGGCCATTTTCACTCTGTTGGCGTTTTTGTTCAACTTCATGCACCAATGTGTAAAGAGCATTTAAACGATCTTGCACTTGCTGTGCGGCTTGTGCATCTGATGAAAATGCCATTTTGTAATTTAATTTCAATTATTCAAACAAGATTTATTGAAAAATCGCGACAAGACTATTGCATGATACCAAGATGACACCACAATCAATAACAATATCTGTAAATTGATGTTAAGAGCATATTAAATCAAATAAATTGATTATATTAGTGCAGTTTTCATTACTTACAATGTTCAGCAGCGTGTTAGGCTCAATGTTGTGTTTAATTAAATTGTAAAACATTAGAGAATAATATTTTGGAGGTTTATCAAGCTAGCGATGCTCTGAAAGTCAAATGACAGATATGACACAAACAAAACAACTTGTGCGTGTTTGCTGGGTTGCCTATATCAAATGTGTAGAGAACGTTTGTGATTGCATAAATAATTCCATTGTTTTACAAATTTTATAAAATTATTTCATTCTCTTCCTGTAATCATAATATAGTTTAGTTTCAAACGTTGATCTATGTATGAGATTACATATATTTGATCCGCCTCATTAAATTTTGATGCAAAATGAAAAAAATCTAATAATTTCAACTAACTCCACAAAATTTATAAACAAATTTCTTTTCATTAAATTTAAATACAATAATACAATTTTAAAAATTCATTTGTATGAAATTTGAATGTATATTAGATATTATAATTTATCTAAATATTTGCACGCTCTGTATTATTTGAAAACAAAACAATGTTTTGTTTGACGTTGGAAATGCTGAATATAAAAGAGGCCGCATTGACCGAACGCATTTTCACCGCGTCCAAAAATTCCTAGCCGAAGCGCGTCGATACGGTCGTTGCGGCGCGCACGCCCGCCCCCGACCCACCGCCCCCGCCGTCCCGACGTCGCTGCACATTCTTGTGAGGCGGCCGCGTCGCTCCCGTCTCGAGAATCAACAGGCGCTCGTCGCAATCGCATTCGTCGCCGCCGCCGACGTGGTCGTCCTCGCGCGCGCCGTCACAACACTCGATTAATTCGTCGCGTGTTTCACCTTTGAAAAACACTAACAAAAAACTAACACAAACTAATTTGTTATCAAACATATTATTTTATAAAATTAAACTGATTACATTTAAATTGCGTCGAATATTTCAAACGCACATTTGTTGCAAAGTGTCGCATTGTGCATCTCAATCGATGCGCGGAGATGTCGCACGTAAATAAAAATAACAACAATTAATTGATTGGCGGCACGGTGCGGCGGTCACGGCCGTGGCGACACTAAAAATACATCGGCATCGGCATGTCGGTTTCGTGAATTAACCGATTCGCGCGTCGCATATTGTTTGGGTGCGCGTCCGTCCATCATCACCAGCCGCCCAGCTTCCGCAGCATCGGCGGAGGCCCGCGCGTCTAATGGGGTGCTCCCCCAGCCAGCTCTTTGAGCACATTCATCGCTCCAGCGTTGGTCAACCAAACACTTTCAAGAAAAACGACAACAATGAGAAACTCAAACGAGGTAAGTTTTTTTCTTTGACTAATATCTTTGTTTTTAAAAACTTTTTCCAACTTTTTTCAAGTTAATAATGAAATATATCCGACGTAGCTATAAGAAAACTAGCGCAAGTATTGTTTACACATACTTGACGTTAATACACAGTCATTATTCATATTACAATATCACTAATATTATGAATAAACTAATTCAATTACGTTGACATGTTGACGATTAACAATCGCATAATGTTCATACCGCCGTCCACTCGACGCTGGTATTGTTATCAAACACCGGCGAAACACGCGACTCGCCGGACTCGACTTTCCATCGTGTCGGGTGCCCTCACGAATCAACACAGCGAAGAAGCTAATTAATTATTCCATTCCCGAGCCTGACGTGACGCGACGCACTTGAGGTAAATATTTATTTACACCACTCCTTCGCTGCAGTACCTACATGCGCAATGTCGTAGCTTGCGCAAGCCGCAATATTTGTGTTTCGCTACATGTTACACATGTTATGCTACTCGTGGGCTACAACGTGCAAGAATTATTATAAGCCATGGGCGGTAACAAGCACATGCGTGAGATTGGATTTATTAAGTTGTCTGATGCTCGGATCATCGAGAATACTTACGCTGAAAGCAGCATGTTTCAGTTTTCATCGGCTTGCGGTTGTGAGGCAATCGCAACAGGTGGTAAGAAGCTACGAATTTCACTTTGAAGAATAATATTGTTGCCAAACTTTTTCAAACTTAACAAAAAAGCAGCAAAAGTTAGGGTTATATGACAGTGCTGTCATTTTTAGCGCATGCGCATAATTATTTTGGTAAAAACACTGGCAAGAAGCTACGATTTTTACTTCACAAAACAATATTTCATCCAAACCTTTTATAACTTACCAAGAAACAGCAAAAGTTAGATTAATGTAGGTATATATAGCAATACTGTCAATTTTAACGCTTGCGTATATTAAATACTAAAAAGTTTGTAGTAAGAAACTACGATTATCACTTTAAAGAACAAGATTGTATCCAACCCGTCCAAAACTTAATAAAAAACAAGCAAAAGTTGGGTTAATGTATACAAAAAGCTGTCATTTATAGCGCATGCGCATATTTAATTAAATTTGAAAAACATTGGAAGTTTTACTTTCTTTGTGTCTCAGTTTCAATCTCTCATAGGTGTACGTTGAGCTACTCATGTGCTCCGCCTGCATGCAGCTGGTCAGTGACTACTTGGTTGTTTCTCGCAAGTAATATAATCGCAAGGCGACTCTCCGCGGACTCTCTCGCCTGCCACAAATCAGCTCGTCAGTCAGTCAGCGCGGCAGTGTGTCCGTCGATGGACACTCGCACTCGGCGGATCGTGACCGATAGCGCGACAATTATTACACATCGATCGAGGCTAACAAGCCGCGTAACAGCTCGTGAAAAGAATTAAAAATTAGTGCAGTTACTCACATGCATACACACAGCATTCACATGCACGTGCTTCAGGTTGGAATAATGTGGCAACATGACACAAAATAGTAAGAGTGTATTTATTAACCAAAAAATATGCTTGATATGCATAAGTACGCGACGCGCGCTTAAAACGACTAAAATCGCTGGCGGTCTTTATCTTATCAGAGAGTGAATTCGTCGGGTCTTTTATTTTTGCAGCAGGTCCGGGTACGATATCGGTTTTAATAAGTTATTTCATTACTTTAATACAAATTAAGCTTGGATTTATTTGGGATTTATTTGGTAAAATTAAAATTAAATGCTGAACGCGTGCTGATAAATATGCGGATTAAACCATCCTTAAAGTCGAGTTTTTTAGCGCAAAATTTTTGATATCGACGGCTTGATTAACACCGCGCCAGGATTTATCCTGCGTATGAGTTCATTATCGAGCATTGTGCGCACTTATCGGAATTTTCGATTAGTTTGCTCATCCGCGATGGCTGATACTTTTATCTCTCGTCGTGGGTGGTTGGAAAATCAGTTGCTATGAAGCTTGTCAGTCGCGTTCGCTTCTTCAACGTGAAATAACAATCATTTACAAGGTATAATTTACAGTTTTTACTTTATTATAAAATTTTTAGTATAAATTCACTCAGAATTAAATTTTGAATCTAAATAAATCGATTTTAGGTTTTTAACATAATTTAATCAAAAGTTACAGAGAAATTTATGATTTTTTATTGAAATTAATTTTATTTGTGTATAACTTTGATTGCAATAATTTTTTTAACAAAATTCTTTAACAATTTGACGTATTATTCAAGTAAAAATAAATTTTCTAAGAAAATAATTTGATTGAAAAATACTTTTAGTGATTTAATGATTATTTTATTTATAGCATGTTTAATTTTCCTAATTACAAAATTCACTTTAAGATAAATTAATTAGTGCGCTGAATGCGCTGGTTATTCAACAAATAAGAGACGTTTCAGAATATAAACAAAACAAATAATGTTAAGGTGAAACGCTTAGCGAGCGCAATTATTCACCGTGCGCCGCATGCTCTCTCGGTACAATTGCGTTATACAGCCGACCGAAAAAAAGCAAAGCAGCGCGTTCTACGTTCGAGCGACGAATTTGTTGTTACGTTATAATTATTGTTAACATATTCGTGCGGCGCGTGTAGTACCCGTCTGCGCATCGTACGTGCGGCCGTCGACGCGTCCTGAAAATTAAAATTACGACTTCGACGTTGGAAATTATTTTTGCAATGAATTAGTTAACGCAAAAATACACCTAAGGTTAATTGGTTAGTGTTTTAAAAATATTTATTTTTTGTTTCTAGCAAACAGTGGAATAATGTAGAGGTGTGTGATAGTGAAAGCATGTGCGTGCGTGGATTTGATTAATTTTTGTGTGCGGCATTACTTGCGCTAAGTAACAATAATAATAATAAAAAAATATATTAATATTGCGAGCGCAATTGAACGGAACTAATGATCGCTGTGCGCGCGTACGGACGATGACTATCATTGAACCGATAACAATGGAGCAAGTCTATGATAATGCCATAGACAAATCCCAAAGTCAACACAACAGCCAACAGCAACAACATCATCACCAGCAGCACAACGTCAACGATAACGCCGCAGTCAGCGCTAATGGTAATTTTTTCACATGTGTGCTTGCGGTTTTTTATTTTTTTGGTGCGCGCACAGCGCAAACAGCGACACAACGCCAAACATGCGAAAAGCGTTTAAACTTTAGCCGCATCATACTTGAGCTGTACTTAAATGTATTAATTATAAGAGGAATGAACAATGGTTTAAAAATTTACGTGAGGGATTCATCATTTTGGTTTATTCATGGAAATTTTGCGAAAATTTATTTATCAACAGGTTTATGTTCTCAGGTTATATTTTAATATTTTTCATAAACATTTTATTGGATTATTCTATGCAAAAGCAACAAATTTTCTTCATAATTCTGATTTTTTTGATTTTAATTAAAAACTAACAAATTTTGCGATTTTATTTAATATTAGTGTTTGCCTGCGTAGATTTTAATAATTAATAGCATAATTATTTTGTATCTGGCGAAAATATTCTCAATTTTAATTTTAAAAAATGAAAAATGGGTACAATGCACTTTTGCGCCATCTGGGAGTGAATTATATAACTATAATTGTGATTGAATCTCCATATAAACTTTCATCCCTTATTTTACACTCTTTAAGTAAAATTTTTGCGATAAAAAGAATCCTATGTTCTTTTCCAAGGTTTAACCTATTCTTACACCAAAATTCATCAAAATAACTTCAATGGTTTATCCGTGAAAGCTTCACAAACATTAATCAATTTTTTTTAACTCACATCGATGACAAAAACAATTCTAAAATTAGACATTTGTCATTTTGACTAATTTGCACATTCCTCGTCAACAAATGAAGATACA